CCAAAGCTGGCTGATCTTGTGCAGAAGTAGAGCCAGTCTGTGGGCTAAGTAGACAGGAGGGTTGAGTAGATGGGAAGTGGGGTTGGGTGCTCTCAATTTAATGCATTCATACACTAATGAAGACACACATTTAAATAAATCATGAATAATTAATTACTACATTTCATTGTTCCTTTTGGTAAAGAAATTATCTCCTAAACTTCCTTTAAAAACCATATGCCTTCTCCTTGGCACTGGTTAGTTAACCACAGGGACTTGCGACCTACCTGGGGAGCTGAAAACCTACCAAACTTTGTCCCATCACTGACCAATGAAATCCAACTCTCTGCGATGGGGTCTGGCCATAGTGTGGGGGACAGTTTCAGAAACCTTTCCCCACATGGGTTTGGTATGTGGCCAAAGTTGGGTGTCATTGCCTGAAAGAAGTAGAACATTGAACAGGTAAGTTTTGATGAGAAGATCATGGGGAAAGCGAGGAAAGTTTCTGAGACTTGGCAAGGCAGGATGTCACATGGATTTATATTTTAACAATCTTCACCAAAACTCATATTGCAACTTTTCTGTATTTGGTGGCTTGCCTTTCATGACTATATCCCAGTCTTGGAAGTAAGATGAGTGCAGAGACAGGATATTTCTATGAAGGTATTTCCCAGCAGGCCGCTGGAAATGTACCTAGGATTCTTTGAATAGCCTTAAAATAGTGGTGAAATTCTGTGAGTTTTTTGGCATTGTTGTTTTAAAGATAGACCTGGTTATATGCATATTTATTTTGATTAAAACATTTATCAAATGTATAAACATAGAGTTTTTTTAATTTGTAAGAGTTTTCTTATAAAGAAATGTATAACTCAGCTAAAGGTTTATTTACTTATTTTTTTCACATGGAGTGCTATGGCTTTGGTTTTGGAAGGGGCTGCCACAAGCAACCTGTGTCCTGAGACCTCGCAGGTGGGGAAGACAGCAGTATGCGGCCATTTAGCTCATGACATTGACACCGTTTTAGCTCAGGCTTTGGCCATTGGGTCTGCACTTCTGCCAAAGGCAACTCCAGGAAGGGAATCTGGTGACACAAGTGGGAGACCGCATGGTGACTCTGGCTGGGAGTGATTTTCTAATCCTGGCTCCATTGAGCCATGGACCTGACATTAAACTAGCTGTTTGCAGAGCGTTTCACAGCTCAGCCTGAGGGCTTGATGAAGTCGATGGGATCCCGGAGCCCAGAGAAGTCCCAGACTAGCCCCAGGGACATAGGTAGAAGGCAGTACAGGTGAGACCCACACTCTGGTGGCCCTGTTCTTCTTTCTGGTGTCAGGCTGCCCCCCACCCCCTCCCATGGCAGGGTGGGTCTTGGGGCTCAACACAGCCATGCCGCCTGAGCAGATGAAGCAAGTCTGACATGTGCCTTGTTTAATACTCTTGTTATTTGGATACAGATATCGGAGTCACGGTAGCTTTCACCCTGAGGAGACCAGGTTGGTATGGGGGTTCCTGTGTGTCTCTTGACTTATCTTGGGGGTGACCCTGGAAGGTATTCAGTAGACCTCAAGCCAGAAAGCCACATCCTTTTTGTGAACGGGAGGCTGGAATTCCCTGCAAATTGGAGGGAGGGTAGGATGGTGGCCACCCTGGAGACTTCCCAGGTGAGTCTTCCTGATTGGACGGTTGGTCCCAGTGTATTGGCGGGAAACTCTGGCAGCCTCTCATTTGTGAGGACAAGAGCATCTTCCTCACAGTATGCCGTGGGGATAATGTGTGTAAAATGATGCTCTGGACCATGGTGAGTGTTTTATACACGTGTAAAAAAAAGTTTTTTTTTTTGAGTTGGAGTCTCACTTGGTTGCCCAGACTGGAGTGCAGTGGCCACTCCTGGCCACCGCAGCCTCGCCTGCTGGGCTCTGGTGATCCTTCCGCCTCAGCCTTCCAAGTAGCCAAATTACAGGCATGTGCTACCGCGCCCGGCTGATTTTTTGATTTATTGTAGAGATGAGGTCTCGCTGCCCAGGCGGGTCTCGAACCTGCGGACTCAGGCAGTCCACTCACCTCAGCCTCCCAAAGGCACGGGATTACAGGCTGAGCCACCGAGCCCGGCTAGCTGTAAAAAATTTTAAACTCAAATTTTCTTATCACTATTGTCAAAATTTGTAGCATGTTTTCCCCTTCTCAAACATGGTTTATTTTCTATTTTAACACCACCCTGTGAATTAGGTAAGAAAGGTCCTTGTGTCACATGGGAAAAAAATATGCTCATCTGAGCTAGGCGACCAGACCCCGATTCTGGAGCCAGCAAGTGGGCTCAGACAAGCCCTGCACTGAGTCTCGTTGATGGTTTCATTTTCTACAGCCCAGTCTGCAGTGGCACAATCATGCTGGGCCGGCCACCCAGGCCTCCTCTCCCCTGGTGGAAGTGCAGGCCTTCAGGGAAGAAATCCATTTTCATCAGAAAGCTTCCATGCTGGCAGTCATGCCGGGCGTGCCCTTGATGACTGACTCACAGTTTCAGGCAAACAACCTTGTGTGTTTGTGAAATGAGCATCAGCCTTCCCAAAAGGCCTGCACTGGCTGTAAATCCTTTGGGCATCCCTGAAGGCTTCCTTGGCTAACTCCATGGAGGGAGGGGTCTGAGCCGTGCCTAGGCCAGGGCTTCTCCACACTGCCCGAGATCAGTGAGAAATTTCCAAAGGTGGTCTGAGACTTGAGTTTTTCAAAACTTCCTTAGGTGACTTCAGTTAAGAGCTCCTGGCTTCAGAGGGACAGAGGTACCTGTCACCAAGAGGTGGGCGTCTCTCTCTCTTCCCCTGCTCATGACAGCAGCCTCAGCCTTGCCCTGATGTCTCTGTGACGGCTTCCCTGTAGGAGAATTTAAAGTGCTGAGGCCGCTGTGATGAGAGGCCGGCTCCTGTGAGGAGCACTGTGTCTCCTTCGGGAGATGCTGCTGTTTATCAGCAGCAAGTTCCTCCTCGTAGATGGGGCAACGTGTCCTTTCCAAGTGGCCTGCAGGGCCCACTGGCCAAGTTCCCAGAAACATCAGACTCCGCCTCCGTGAGCCCAGTGTGGCGGTGAGCCTTGGGGACCATGGAAGCTGAGCCGGGTTGGGAGGTGCTGGCCGCTGGCCGCGGCTCCTCTGATTGGCCACCACCCTTTGAGACCTGAGCAGTGAGAGCTATGATTGGAAGTTCTCTCTTGGAAACCCCAGCAGAGGGGCATATCCTGGTGCATATCCCTGGTGCATATCCTCCAGAAATTCTGGGGAGACTCAGGGTGAAGTTCTTGTCAGAAGGTGATGGCAAGTCAGAGGGGGAAAGGCCACCTCCCAGAAGGGCACGTGTGTGGCACTTCCTGTATCCCAACCCTGCCCTGGGGGCTTTGCTTACCCACCCCATCTCATTCTCACAACAGCCCTGTGAAGTACGTACTTTATTATTATGCCCACTATGCACCCAAGGAAACTGAGGTTCAGAGAGCTACTGTGACTCGCCCAAGGCACTGGGCATCCCTTCCATGAGGGGCGCTTTCGGAGCCCATTCTTCCATCCTGCTGCCTCTCAGGGTCTTCAGGGACTCCAGACCCCCTTGTCTGATGCCTGGCCCCTGTTCAACATCCTTTAACAGTGGTCCTTGGGGACAGGGACCACCCGTCCTCCCTAAACAGTCCACTAGTCCACTCCACTGTTTAGACAGCAGCAATGGCGGGGGGTGGGGGGTGTCCCTCGATTCCTCATCTGGATCGAAGCAGGACATGCACAGAGCAATTATGTGAGGGAGTGGGTTGGGTGGACATCTGTCCCCTACTGCCATCCATGCATGGGTCTTCATCCTAGCCCTAGAATAATAAGCACCATTGAGGTTCATCAAGTGTGTTCCAGCTATGGTGCTAAATACTTTGCCTCATTTGCACACGAGGATCGCGACGTCTGGAGAGACTACATGTCCCGTTCAAGGTCACAAAAGCAGTCTGTGAATCTCAACCATGTCGCTCCTGACATCGTAAGCACTAGATACACATGCAAAACGGGAGGCCGTGGTTGTTCTGTGGCCTCTCACGTCCAGGACTACAGGAGTTCATGGAGGGGGCCTCCACTGCCCTCCCCGCCCCATCCCCCAGTCCACACCTTCTGGTTCCCTCTCCTCTCTCTGCAGCCGCCTCTGGCTGAGCTGAGGCCAGCATGATCCTGGTGACTGTCTTCACCTGTCCTTCCACCCAGAGCCATGTGCTCCAGTGTCCCTCACCTCCTGAAGGCCTCTGTGGGAGGTGGGCAGAGTGTCAGGAGCACTTTTGTCTGTGGGAGCCCATAGTGCTCTCCTGCGACAAGAAGGAGGCTGAGAATTGGCTTCCTGCTCAGGGATGGTAGCAATCACAATAGTAGCTGACATTTGGGGCACGTGCATGTGTCAGCTGAGCGGTGCCCTTGGGGGATGGCCTCTGTGAGTCGCAGGACCTCTTGACCTTGGAGTGGTCTGGTGAGGGTGCTGACTCTGCCAAAGGGAACGGGCAGGCTCAGGCCCCCAGTGATTGGACCCTGGGCTCTGAGATCAGACCAACAGGGGTTCCAGGGATAGCTCCAGGGTTCAGAGCTGCGTGACCTTAGAAACACTGGCCATCTTCTCCGGCCTTGGCTCTTCCTCTGCAGGATGGGCAGGAGAGGGTTGCTGTGGTGGCCCAGTAAAGCCCTTCTTTTTAGTGTCTAGCCCGGTGCCTGGCACAGGCAAGCGGGGAAGGATGGAGACATGCCAGCCGATGCTGTTAGTGTTCACTCTGTCTCATCCCAGTGCAATCCCAGGGGTACCTCACGTTTCCTATTCAGGCAGGTTCTGAGGTTGTGGCAAGAGTGGAGTCATAGGGTTCTCACAGGGACCTCCGGACACGTCTTCTGCCCCGTCCTGGCGGGGGAGGAGGCGGCCGGCCTCCAGGGGACCTTGTGTGAGCTTTCTCCCCACACATCTCAATGACTCGATGTTTATGTCACCGTGCTGCTCAGTTTTTCTTCTTCTTTCAGAAAGGGGATGTTTGGGCTGAAGCTGAAGAAGAAGCAGAAGAAGAAGGCCGAGAAGGGGCTGGTCCTGGCTAACAAGGCTGTGCAAGGTGAGGCTGGGCGTGGGTGCTGACCCCTGCCCGGGGCCCGACTTCCCACAGGGGCTTTCCTTTCTGAGGACGCAGCTCCCTCTCCATAGACATGGGGGCTGAGCCCTGGCTCCCCGCAATTCATTCAGACCCTGTCAGTCACAGGTGTGGGCTGAGACGACTCCCCCAGCCCCGGGGCCCTGGTCGTCCCGTCCACACAGGGTGTGAGGGCCCTGGCTGTGCCCTGAAAAGGGTCCCCACGAGGAGGCAGTGGCAGGGCTCGAGCTCTGCTTCTGTTCCCATTTGCTCACTGGCCAGATGTGTGGCTCCGAGGGCTCTGAGGGTGGCACCGAGCCTGTTTCCACCTTCGTTCACTGGCATGATATGGGTGGCTAGGCCGACCTAACACAGTTGTGGAAAGGATCAAGGGGCATTTTGGAGACAAGAGTGAGGATCACAGCTGCCACGGAAGAGGCTCATACATGTCGTCTCGTGATCCCCTCTCCTCTCACCAGTGGGTGCCGTCACCCAGCTTTACAAGTGGGGTTATAGGTAGAGGGAGTAACCACTCGCACTGGCTGCAGGCTTGCCAAGGCCGGGTGAAATTGAAAACGCAAAGCCACCCCTGAGAAACCATTAAGAATTTCAAGATGGCACAGCAGAGCATAAACCCAGCACAATGGGGTCCTTCTGAGTTTGGGGCCCTGGGTGAGCACAGACCACACACCCGAGAGGCCGGCCCCTGGCGACGGTGGGCAGAGTCAAGGAGCGGCACTGGGTGTAGATCCAGGCCGTCTGACTTTCCCTCCTGAGAGTGGGCTGCTTCCTTCCCCAAAGCCCTGAGTGAGGCTCAGCTGTGAAAGCCAGGCCCAGCGTTGGGTGGACACTCAGTGTTGATTAAATCGAATTGGGCCAACGGATTCTGAGCGGACAGGCCCCCTCCGAAGTCTCCCTGGAGATGTCTCCTGCAGCATAGCCTTGATGAGCACAGGCCCAAGGTTGGCTTTCTGGATGATTCCTGAACCAAGATGTTACCGTGGGTCTGGTTCACCTTCACCCCTCTTCTCTTCTGGGGGTTCCTTCACGGCCACCCACTGCGGGTGTCCTGTGGCCTACACCATGCCTGATGCCACTCCTGGGCCTCGGGCAAAACCTGTTCTTAAGGTAGAAATGTGTGGAGATGCCTCATGCCAAGGTGCTGATGATAATGGCCAAGAGGTAGCCTTGGCAGAGAAGGGATGGCATTACGCATGCGGCGAGGTCACGGCTAAAAGCTCAGTAGACGTCCTTGTCTAGTCAATCAAATGGACTGCATTGGGAAGAGGGTGGGAAAGGCTTTGGGGTGTTTCTTGGAGCCTTGAAATTATGACACTGCAAAAGGTCCTGGGGACACAAGGTAAATAAGGCACAGTCCTTCCCTCAAAGACCTTATGAAAAACAGTATTCTTGATATATTTAATGCTTCTGCTGCTTTTTACTTGATCTGCATCATTTATGACCCTGAGAAGTAGGTTCTGGAGCCCCCGTTTTACGAGAGGCTCAGGGAAGGTGAGTGGCTAGCCCCATGTCACACACTGGGGGAGATGATGGTTCTCAGCCCAGGGCAGGCCACACCGGAGTCCTGGCCTCCCACCCTGTGGGTGGCCTCCAGGTAGGAGCCCTCCCTGACAGGCTGGCAGAGACCCAGGGCGGGGGACCTCAGGCATTCCCAGGAGCTGGCTCACTCTAGAGTCTGCAGCCCACAAAGCAAACAGGGCAGAGGAGCCAAGTCCCTCCCAGAAGGTAAACAGCACCCACCCCGTGACCTGCGGCCAGCCCCGCAGGAGGCCGACCACACAGAGTCCACGGAACAGAGACCTTGGCACTTCCTTCTTTGGCCTGGCCTAGAAGTTTAGGCTTTTCTGGGTGAGATGTCTGCGGAGTCTCAAAGTCTTTGACTCTTTAATCTGTGTATGTTGAGACTTTTTTTTTTTCTGAGTTGGAGTCTCACTCTGTCGCCCAGACTGGAGTGCAGTGGCTGCTCCCGGCCACCGCAGCCATGACCTACTGGGTCCCAGCGATCCTTCTGCCTCAGCCTTCCAAGTGCCTGGAACTACAGGCATAGCACTACCATGCCCGGCTAATTTTTTTTTTTTTAATTTATTGTAGAGATGAGGTCTCGCCAAGTTGCCCAGGCGGGTCTCGAACCCGCGGGCTCAGGCCATCCGCTCACCTCAGCCTCCCAAAGTGCAGGATTACAGGCTGAGCCACCGAGCCCGGCTCCTTCGTTCTTTTATTCCGCATGTATTAGTGGGACGTCTGCTAAGTGCTGGGCCCTGGGCTAGGTTCTGGGCATTCAGCAGTGGACACTGAGCAGGCTCTGTGGAGGCCAGCCCTGCACGGGACCCTCTGGTCTGTGCTCAGCCTTATCCTGCTGTTTTCTGTCCCAGGGGCCCAGGGTGCACGGCCCGGGTCTCCCCTGCCTTCGGCGTGGCAGAGGTCAGGCTCCAGCTGGGTGTGTCCCTCCACTGAAGGCGGGGACTGCCCCTCATGGAAAGGCGGACTCCACCCGCCTCCGTCCCTCCAGGTTCTGGTGACCACGCCCTCTCCTCATTTGGGAGCCAGGCGTGGCCACTGCCAGCACCTGGATCGTCACAAGGTCCCTCTCAGTGTTTCCACGTCAGCACCTCTGTGAAAGTCCTCACATCACGCCAGCCTGTGCCTTGGTTCCCTAGGGAGACCCTGCACCCGGCTTGGGGAAAGTGCTGAGGCGAATGGCCAGCCGCTGGAGACCCCGGGGCTCTCTCAGGGTGGACGAGGGGAGTCTCTGGGTGGTGGGGGGTAGCACCAAGCCAAAGTTCCAGGAGTGGGAGCTCACGGGCTGGGCAGGGAGGCCTGAAGAGATTGCAAGCAGCAGAGAGCTTGTCTGGGTGGAGGGAATCCAGCAGGGGTGCATCTGGATTCAGGGAAGGGCCAGGTGGGCAGGGACGGGGCGGCGGCCGGAGGGGGTGGGCTGCAGGTGAGAGTAGTGGTGGACCTGGGGTTTGTGCTAAGGACAATGGAAAGCTGCTGAGGGGGCCTGCCAAGGACAAGCAACAGGATCTGGTGACTTTTTTAGGTCACCCTGGGTTGGAGAGAGCACAGTGGTAGCTCACAAATGAGTGAATGAATGAATGCATAGAAGAAGCTTCAGCTGACTGCCCTCTGCCTCGGGATCTGTCTCACCTCCAGGATGTGAACCCCTGAGGGGGGTCTGTCATCCCTGCACCCTTGGTGTCTCCCTGGGCAGTTTCCGGCACATTAAGACACCTCAGAATGTCCACAGGAAGCTGGAATCCATGACTGTGGGTCTGGTTCCTGCGGCCCTGCAGCAGGGAGCAGGTGTGGGTTTATCTTGCTGCTTCAAAGAGCACAACCCGACCCTAGCATGTGCGCCCGACATCTCTGTGGTGCTGGCCTTGTCTTCAGCTTCCCGAGTGAGAGCCTAGTACAAGCAGACTCCCCCGTCAATGATCCCCTCTGGGGCCATGAGCTCTTACAAGCGGCCTGCATGACTGGGCACCCCGACACAGGCTGCTGTGCCCTGCTCTCTCTCCTGTTTTGTGTGGTTTGCTGATTACAATTCGGCAATCCAGACGCATCAAAGCCGAGAAGTATCTCAGAGACGATTGAATTGGTGGGTTTACAAGGTGAGTCCCATGGAGCCCTGGGTTCTGAGAAATGGCTTCAAGGGTGTCTAAAGAGAGGGGTGGTAGGAATCCTGGGAAGCGCTCTATCTGCCACCCTACTCCTGGCAAGGAAAACAGTTGGCTACGAATAGAGGCCTTTTATAAGTGTCTTATGCTGGCCCTCCTTGCTGCTAGGGAGGGCAGGCGTAAGACACTTATAAAAGGCCTCTGTTGCTTTAAGACGCTTCAGAGCCACTTTTCTTGCCCAGGTTTTGGTTTCATAGGCAAGGAAAAACCGCCAAGAGACTCTGAGTGTCTTGCTCGAGTCATCCAACTTGGAATCCACAGGCTCATACCTGGCGGGCTCCGTGCCGGGGCTGTAGATAGTCTGTTTAATTTTCTAACAGCCCTGTGGGGCAGATGACATTGACCTTGCCCTGTTTTATAGATGAGAGAGTTGAGTCACTTGCTCTAATCCATAGAGCCAGAAGGTGAAAAGGTTGAGACTCAAACCCGAGCCTTGGGACGCGGCTCTTTGAACTCCCCCACACAGAAGAGTCCTCTGGTGTGTCGCGAGGCCCAGCCACTCTCTCGTGGTTGCCAAACACCTGGTTGAGAGGCAGCCTGCCAGCTTTGCTGTATGTGAGGTTCACCTGGGACATTTGGGCAGTCTTGACATCAGGCCCCTCCAGATGAATTCAACCAGCATGAGGGCGGGAGGGAGAGGGTCTCCAGAATGTGCTGACTGTGGATGTATTTGTGTTTTCTGAATGTTCGTGGGCTCATCTCCTGGGCTTCCCACAAACTCAGCCACTTAGAACAACACGAATCTGCCCCCCCTGTGACGGAGGCCAGATGCCTGAAATCTAGTTACAGGGCCAAAATTCAGGGCCCGTCCTCTCCGGGACATCTCTTGCCTCTGCCGGCTTCTGGCAGCTGTGGGTCCCTCAGGCTGCGGCTGCGACTGTCTAATCTAGGCCTTCGTGGTCACGCTGTCACCTTCGTCCCTATCGGTGTCATGTCTCCCACCGTCTGCTCATCCAAGGATGCAAGGGATTGCCATTAGGAACCACTCAGCTAGTCCAGGGTAAATCCCTCCTCACAAAACCCTTAACTTCATCAGGCCGCAGAGACCTTTTTTCCCAAGTCAGGCGACACACGCAGGTTCCAGGGATGGGGATCTGCTGTCTTTTTAGTCGATGGCACTCAAAACCAGCCCACGGACAGCAGACGTGACCTCACCTGGTGTCTGGCAGTTAGAAATGCCGAACCTTCGGTCCCAGCCAGACCTGCCGAATCAGAGCATGCGTTCGACAGCATCCCAGGTGATTCTTACGCACATCAGACTTTGCTGATGTGGCACTGAGACAGTAAACAACTTGACTGAAGTTCCTTCGTGGCAAGATCGTGCCAAAGCGGGTCTTGGGAGTCGGCATCCAGTTTTCTTTCCACAGTCCCATCCATAGAAATCTGCTCTCTCTTGGAAACAGGTGGAAGGTGCACTTGAGAAAACTTCAGGTCGTATCTGGCTGTTCTGCCCATACGATGCTATGTTCCACGCTGGCAGGGGCTGCCTTCCAGTCTCCTGGGACCCCTGCGGTGCCACTGCGGTGCCAGCCACAGGACGGAGGCTCGATCACCACCACGTGTCATCTGACAGATTTTCTTATCTTGTTGCTTCTCCAGATGGACAAGGGGAAGAAGAGCCACAGGAGGGAACCTCTCACCAGGATGGGCCAGGAGGCGATCTGGTTTGCGATGATGGGTCTGTCACTCCTGTCTCCTCAGCTCCCCCAAAGAGAAGGTATGGGGTTGGTGTGGGTGGTCCACACACATTTGCCGAGCGCCTCCTAGGTGCTGGGCACCCTGTGGGTGCCAGAGACAGAAGAGACTAAGACTGGTCCCTTTGGTGGTGGAGAGCTAAGGCAGGAGACAGAGTTCTGGTCGACTCAGCTTTCTCTGTGGCCGTGCTGGCCTCTTGATAGTGGTCAGCCTTCAGCAGTCCAGAGGTCAGGCTCCACCACTTCTGTTTTTATCTACTAAGTGAAGGTGCTCATGACCTCCCTTGTCTGGGAGTAACAGCAGGAGGAGAAGATAGACCCAGAAACTGTCTCTTGTCTGCTCTTCAACTCATCAAGGTGCTAGCTGTCTGAAATAAGGAGATGGTTCTTGTGTCACCCAACAAAAAGGCCAAGTAAAGTGGCCGTCTACGTGCAACTCGCTGTATCAGTTAGCTACTGCTGTGTAACAAATAACCCCCAAACCAGAGGCTTACTGTAAGAAGCACTTACTGTTGCCCATGAGTCAGTTGGATGGTTTTAGTGATCTCAGTCTTTGCAGCTGCATCCCGTGTGCATCCCATGGGTTACAGCTTGGTTGGTGGCAGGCTGGTCTAGTTGCTGCTTCAGCTGGGACCACTGGCTCCACTTTAAGCAGTGCCAGAGCCTCCCGCAGGCTAGGCTGAGCATGTCCCCGTGGTGGCCAGGGCAGGGTTCCAAGAGAAAGTGGGAGTTCACAGGACTCTCGAGGCCTAGGCTGGGAACTGGCAACAGTCACTTCTGCTGCATTCGACTGTCCAAGCAAGTACCTGGCTGGCCCCTGTCAGAGCAGGAAGACAACGCAAATTATAGGGCAGGAAACAGGGACACAGAGAAGCCAACAGTTGGGACTGCCAGTGCTTCAGTCTGCTGCATTTGTTTGTGTTCATTTCTTTTTCCCTTTCTTTTCTTTTTTCTTTGAGTTAAGGTTTCACTCTGTCATCCAGGTTGGAGTACAGTGGTGCAATCACAGCTCACTGCAGCCTCCACCTTCTGGGCTCAGGCGATTCTTCTGCCTCAGCCTCCCAAGTCACAGGGACTACAGGCACACGTTACCACACCTGGCTAGTTTTTTCATCTTCTGTAGAGACGAGGTCTCACTCTATTTCCCAGGCTGGTTTCAAACTCCGGAGCTCTAGCCATCTTCCTGTCTCAGCATCCCAAAGTGCTGGGATGACAGGCGTGAGCCACCACGTCCGGCTGTGTTTACATCCGTTTCTTACTCAAGATGCTCCCTCCTGTCCTTCCTTCCTTTTCCACTCAGAATCGTTACTATCAATAGAACAAGCGAGTGCTTCCCTGTGTGGCTGTGCCTGAGTCATTTCTGGACTGGGACAGGGCATCACGGCACCTGTGTGCGGGTCAGAGGGGCATGGGAGACCAGTGGGGGTCAGAGAAGGAAGGCGCCAGCTCAGGGGCTGCCATGTGAAAAAAGACCAAGTCCAGCACCCACGCTCCCTGCAGTGTCTCCTTCCCTCTGTGCTGCACCCTGGTGGCTGCCACCCACACCCCACGTCTCTGAATAGGGGCTCCTATTATTTCTTAATATCCTTCGAGACATTCCTTGCCATTTATTTGTCCAAGGTGATAGCACTGGGTGGAGAAAGGCAGGAGAAAGAGAGGTGAAGGATACAGCCTTTACTCGTTCCTAGGTCAGAACGTCTCCGAGCGTTGAAACCCTGCTCCCCACCGACGCACAGTTCAAAACCCGCCTGTGCGGTGAAGCTGCTGTGGCCTCCCTGGCCCTTGGGACTCTCTTCTCTAGAGCTCTTTTGTCACCCTTTTTCTTCTTTGTGGCACAGTTTACATGCTAGTAGCTCTTCTTCTCCTCCTCCTCCTCCTCCTCCTTCTTCTTCTCCTCCTCCCTCTCCTCCTCCTCCTCCTCCTCCTCCTTCTATGTGCTTTGGTCCTCTCTCCATGGATGGATTGTTATCTTCACAAGGGCCCAGAGGATGGCTTATTCACTCTTGTTTCTCCCTGAACTGAACCTCGCATTGGGCTTTCACATGATAAGCAACCAGCCCAGTTTTGCCTTGTTGAGGATGGTGTTCAGTGACAGCCACCTGCCACACATGCAGCGTCCTCTCTCATCCTCAGAGAGACCCCACATGCCAGGGATCAGTGTCCCCATGTTCAGACAAGGAAACAATAAGCTGGAGTCCAGGACTGGGGAGAACGAATATTCTATCCCAACTCGTCTGACTCCAAGACCTTGAGATTTTCACCAGCTCTCCCTGTTTTTCGCTGGACTCAAGTCGGGTGCAGGATGGAATTGCAGAAACCAAGAGCACAAAGCCAGCAGGACTTGTGCTCAGTTCACCTGCCTCCGACATCTGCTTCTGTGACGACAGGAATTCTCCATCTTGTTCTGCTATTCTCACTCTCTGAGTGCCCAGGGGTTCATTTCTGTCTTTAACTACTCGTGACATCCAGACAAATGAAGTTCCCGAAATGTGATGACTCCTGAAATGGAGTCTTGATCGCTCCTTCCAACTTTTTCTTTACAAGGCAGTAACGAGACTCAGAATTCTTGTATCTACTAGAAATAACCAAGTGGCCCTTCATTGGGCAGGAGACGGGAGATCTTCTCATAGACACAGCCCTGCCCCTGATCTGCTCAGGCATCTCAGTTTCTCATTCTGTTTATAATAATAATAATAGTAATACCGATGATCATACTCAGTGAGAACTGATGTGTATTCTTGCCAGGTGCTGGGTTAAACCTTTATATGCATTAGATCATCTAAGTCTAGCAATCTTCTCATGAGCACCATCTTTAGGATGGGAAGACTGAGCCACAGGGAGGTCAAGCCACTAGTCCATTTGTACTTCTCTCCCCAGAGATGCAGCGAGGATATGTAACAATATTAGGTGAAAGTCTTTGGAAACACTTAGGAACATATCATCATGGCTGATAGATGTTCTTCCTTGTTGAAACAAATATATCAAACTTTCTTTTCCTAGATCAAAGCTGTTGGCCAAAATCCACGATGGAGAGGTGAAGTCCCAGAATTACCAAGTAAGTGACTGCGTCTTCCCGCCAGCCTCCCCTCCCTTCCTTTGTCACAGACGGCACCATCCAGGACACACCCACACTACTTTGTGTTACAGATCGCCATCACCATCACTGAGGCCCGCCAGCTGGTGGGTGAGAACATTGACCCGATTGTCACCATCGAAGTTGGGGATGAGAAGAAGCAGAGCACGGTGAAGGAGGGAACCAACAGCCCATTTTACAATGAAGTAAGTCCTGGAGGTCACCCACAGCCTCCGCACCCGTTCCATCTTCACTGCCATTCTGTGGTATTCTTCGGTCTAACAGCGGAGCTGTGACCTTCTCACTCCCTCCCAGCCCCACGGTTAAGCCCCGAGCCTCCTGACGCACACAGCCCCACAGTTTTTAGCAAAAAGGCAGCAAAAAGTTGAAGCAAGGGATTCCTCCGGATGCTAAATTCATGTTGTGTTTTTAGTAGACCCAGCGTCTTTTCTCTTATCAGCTCATCTTCATCCATTGTAAGCTCTGGGTTTATATTCAATGCATGTGATGGATATGGTAAGGGAAAAGACATATGCTCTTTTTCCCCGGCAGAGACATTGGAAATGTAATTATTGATCTTGAAATAAGCACACAGTTTTGAAAAGGAAAACAGTTGTATTTTTCTAAGCTGTGTAGAAAATCCCCAAGAAAGAAGAGTGTAAATATTACACAGACCATATTCTCTGTTTTAAATGTAAAAGTGCATGGTAAAAAAAAAAAGGAAAACAGTAAAAGAGACAAAAAGTGAAATAGGAACTAGAGCTATGTGCTTGCCGCTGACCTTCAATTCCCAATTCTCCAGCCCCTCTGGAAGCTTCCTTATCATTGGACAGTAGCATGTCCTTCCAGGGATATTCCAAGGAAATGTAGCACCCAAATGGTCACATTCTACTCACACTGTTCTGACCTGGCTCCTTTCACAAAAGAATGTGTCTTGGAGTTCAGTCCCCATCAGGACGCACACTCCAATCTCATTTTGCTCTCATGGCCAAGGAGCTTTCCACTGTCTTGATAGACCATAATTCGCCAGGCCAGGTGGTCTCACAACCGACATTAAATGCTTCAGTCTTTTGCTAGTACTTACAATGGTGCGACCTGGGCACCAGTCATACATTTAATATGTACACCTAAATTTTTGATATCCCCAAAATAACGAGAGGTAACAAATCATACTCCAATCAACAGTGCGCAGGACTGCTTGCTTCCTGTAGGCTCTCTGACACAGTGTGTTGTGGGAAAAAATGCAGTAGTTTCTGAATTATTCTTCTGATGGGAGTGAGAATTGGAGAGGCAAGCCAGGGGAGCGTGGGTCATGAAATCAACAGAATATACCCACATCCTGCTGGAGCTGATACCTCCTGTCCTGTCTGGCGTTTTACCACGAGTGGAAGTGTCAGCCGCTTCTCCTCTCTCGCTCTGCTTCTATCCCAAGGACAGACTTGGTGTGGATGTGACATGAGATAATGCCTGAAAATGCTTTAAAACTGCAAAGTGCCACCGATTTGTTTATTGTTGTAATTATGCACACAAGTCCTGCATGTAAATGACTTTAAATCAGTCTCAAGTATAATCAGCAGAATATCCAGTGAAAACATGTAAGTTGAACTAAAAATCTTTGTCATGACTTTTGACCCAAATGCTCAAGCCTCAAATTGCCCGATATTGAAGGACCCAAGGGAGTAGGGGCTAGGGAATATTTCCCAGCTAGAGAAATGTGCTGTAGGCCTGGGGGTTCCAGGGGCCTGCCGAGGCAGGTGAGTACAAAACATGACATCGCAGAAGGAGTAAACACTGCATCTGATCCATGGGTCTAGAGGACCCATGGCATCTCACACATTTGGGCTCATCAGAGAATGAGGAATTTTGTGTAAGTGAATTTTCCACATAAGTGTTGAACACCAAAACACTTAAAACGTTTAAACATATGTATGAAAAGTTTCCTGGAATGTTATACCTAGTCTCCTATTTTCTTCAACGGAAGACACTGAACATAATGGAATCTTCCAAGGATCTCCAAGGACCATTGACTTGAAGATCTCTTTCTATAGTACATGATAACATCTTTGGTTCACACATTTTGGGTTTTCTGCTCTGCCCTCTGAAAGTGGCTGTCAGGGGTTGGTCGGTTCCTCCTTTCCCACTGCTGCTATGTCCATCCTAAGGAGTAATTTCTCCACCCTGCAGCTCAAAAACGAAAGAAATAATCGGGGAGACAGCAGCTCCCCAGAAAGGCCTTCCCTGCCCCCACCAGTCCTCCAGACACACATCCTCAGCAAAGCACTACGCAGTTCTCCACAGCTTAGCAACTACAACCTTGGGTTTGAGGATCTTGGCTCCAAGGTCAGCTAGGGAAAATGTAGTACTCAAACCCATGTGCAATGACTTCAAGGCAGCTAAGACTTGGTCCCAGGCCCAGCAGTCATTAGCAGTGTGAGCCCAGGAGATGTCTTTCACATTCTTCAGTCTTCTTATCTGTAAAACAAGTGGCTGGACTAGACAGCTTGTTCAACACTAAGGTCTGATCACTTTCTTAATATTAAAATCTCCCATGTCCATAATTAATTTTTATTCTCTCCCTGGTCAATCTTGGTCATGTTTGAAACTGAAAAATCATGGGAAAATTAGATTTTAGTCAACTTGACTCCTAATTAAAACCATACGGGTACCATTTCAACCATCAATATATGCAAAAAAATAACTTTCTAAAATTTAAAAAATTAAAAGAACTGACAGTATTAAGGGTTGACAAGGGTATGGAGAGTTGACTACTTTCACATGCTGCCCATGGGAATGAAAAATGGCTTACTCCATTTGGAAATAAATTTTCTACAATCTGTTATAAATTTACAGGCATACACTCCATGACCCAGCAATTCCACTTCTCATGTCTGTTTTAGAGAAATACTCACACATATTCTATGCAAGGATGTGACTGGCAGAATTTTTTTTTTGTATTTGAATAACATTGGAAATAGCCTACATGACCTTCTTGGGGACAATCAGTTGATGATCTGTTCACGCAGCAGTTGTTCTTAGAGCAACACAGATCTAAGTCCATGCCAGGAACAGGATTCTTAGACACCAATCCAGAGTTGATGGCCAGAATGAACTTTGTGTTTTGCAGTACTTTGTCTTTGACTTCGTCGGACCCCAAGTGCACCTCTTTGACAAGATCATCAAAATCTCAGTAAGTATCCCATTGGTGGTGGCCATACACCATTAGTGGTGGCCATAGACCCTCAGTGGTAGCTATAGACTGTCGGTGGTGGCCATAGACCATGGTGGTGGCCTCAGACCATCGGTGGTGGCTGTATACCGTTGGTGGTGGCCATAGACCATCAGCGGTGACCATAGACCATGAGTGGTGGGGGGACCCCTCTAGAACAACTCAACATGTATAGGGATGAACAGATTCAGGAGGGTGAGTGTGAGCTGGTGAATCTGAAACCAATAGGTTAGACCCTGAGATCACTGGTGCAGAGGATTCTGGGAAGAAAAACAACTCAAGAAAAATCTACGCTTCTTGGAAGCAAGTTGTAAGCTACTGTAAAGCTTTTATTAATTTAATTGTGTAGCTCACTACAATGGGACTGTGAAACATATGCTTCAAATGACATCTTAATGGATCGCCGTTTTTAGTTGATGTCTTTCTTTTCATCAAGCAAATGTTAGAGTTTTTCTCTTGGGGTGATAAATACTAATGATCATTAATCACACCCTTTCCCCCTCCTGGTTGGTAATAAATGGAGATTCAGGAAGGGACCAAATATGTCCTCTCCTCAGTGGTAATGCTGGATTAGAGTACGGTGGCCCTCAAGACCCAGGAGCAAGTGGTGGTCCCTGGGACCCAAGAGTAGACCTCAGGATCTGCCCAGGGAGTTGGGTCTGCCATGTAGACCCTTCCGCAGCCCTGCCAGGGCAATTGGTCCTCCACAGATGGAACCAGAAGAGTGTAGACAGAGAGAGCATCCTGGTCTAGGTGGGTCCCTGCTGGGCTTTCCTACCACAGGGAGGACGGGATGGAGAAGGGCAGTGCCCATGTTGAAGCCATCCTGCCCAAGGCAGAGAGAAGGCATGTCAAGGTCAAAGGCGATCATGACAGGCTTCACACCATTCAGCAAAGGGACAGAGACCCGTGGGTGACAGGCAGCAGCTGAGTCTGAGAGGCTGTGGGTCTGTTTGGAGAGTAAGTGCCCTCTTCCGAGCAGCTCTGAGAGGACAGGATTTGGACTGCATGAGTGCATGCCAGAAGCATGGAGAGCAAGGAAGTGTGTCCCCAGCACTCACAGCAGCTCCGGTCAGTTGTGAGGGACAGCTCCTGTCTGGCCGGCTCCTCCCCTGTCTTTATCTTCTGTGCCTGTCATTTTTGCCCCCCCAATTGATATATAAACATATGTATGGTGTGCTCTCCTCAGCTACAGCCATGGTCATCAAAGTCCCGCATGAAGCCCAGGGTCACAGTGGGACTGTGACCTCAGCTTTCCCAGGGCACGTGAAGAATGTGACTCTTGAGGAATGAGACGTTGAGGGCCAAATGTTCCGAGTGTTTGCACCTCAAGCATGGCGATGGGGGGGCCAAAGATATTTCGGGGCCTGGGACGTTGCCCAGGATGGCCCCATGGCTTAGGCAACCACCTGTTGTGAGATCAGCTGATAGCAGGCTCCTAGGGACTGTCTGGATGGCAGGCTCTCGGTGAATCTCAGATTTTTACACGGTGTCACAGACAAAGGCCAGTGGGCTTTTAGACCAAGAATCAAAGCTGGTGTTGCTCATCTCTGCTCCTGTAATTAGGAAGGCGAGAAGATTTTGGTGTCCCTGAAAGACTCTTAGAGAAAAGATTTTAAAAGAAAAAAACTCCCGTCCAAAGGGAAGCATTTAATACAACGTTTCTGGTCGTTCATGAATTAAGAGTCAGTGTGCCCAGAATAAATTCATCGTGGGAGAAGTGGGGTGAGCTGTAAGCACAGGGACAGCCAGCCTGTGACGTGCCCAGTAGTGGCGCCAAGGATGAGCTCCCCTTCGCTATGGCCATGGCCCGGGGGCTCCTGGCACTCTGCTGTGGGAGTGAGGCGTTCCCGGGGCCCTGCGGTCGGCTGGGTCCTGGGTCCTGGTGCGCAGTCACTCCCCACAACCCGGGGAGGCGGCCCGTGCTGCCTAGAGGTTTGCTGGGGCGCTCGTGTTCTATCCTGCCCACAGGGACCCTCAGCTTGAGGAGAGGACTTGAGGCCGGCCTCTGTTCATCCTCGGTCCACGGGAAGCCACGTGCGTGACAGGTCTTGGAGCGAGCTCTGGGTGGGCGTCTTACATAGCTCCTCCACCCAGGCCAGGTTGCTCTTAGCTCCCCTGGGCTCTCCAGGAGGGCAAGGGAGGGACAGAGGAGCGGGAAGGGCTGTCATTCCGTGAGGTCAGTCGGATGTGCTGTTTCTCGGTGCCTCCACCCAGACGGGCTGCTCAGAAGCCTCAAGTCTCCCATGCGTCCGTCCCTCAGCCTGTCCACTGTGCGTTCGCTCGTGGAGCGGTCACTGAACGTCTGTTCTGAGCAAGACCCAGTGAGGGGTGGAGGCCGTGGGAGACAGTTCCTGACTCGAGGACCTTGTGGGATTTGACAGACAGAAGGAGGCTCGGAGGCCATCGAGGCCAGCTCCCAGTGGATCCAGAAACCCTCCCCACCCCTCTACAAAGCAGGGTCCTCGAGGCGTGACTTGGGAGGCCACTGCCTCCAGCAAAGCCCACTTCCTGGCTAGGCAGCTGTCATGGTCATATACGTCCTTATGTGTAACTGAAATCTCTCATCCTGTCACATGGGGACCACAGAGGGACCTCCTCGACCTCAGGGTGGCGGCATGTCCAACCCTGAGGACGCGTAACCTCACTACTGGCCATTCCACACCCCCCAGTTTTCTCTTCTGGGTTCAAGGTTAAGTTCTTCAGCAGTTTTCCACTCAATGCAGCTTTGGACCCAGTACCAGCTCTGCTGCCTTCCTTTAAAAGGTGCTCATCCTGAGAGCACGGGCCTGAAAACAGGCTGCGGTAGCCCAGCCAGACACTCTGCTGACTCTGGGTCAGGCCAGATACGGAGGACGACCCCTCCCTTGTTCCGACTGTTGTATGTGTCCCACACATCCCCAGGCCACGTGAGATGGGTGTTCTGAGAAACTTGTAAGCGAGGTGTTATGGGAGTTTAGGGGAAAAGGGAGAATTCTCAGCTGGGTGGGGGGGCGTCAGGGAGGCTGCCTGGAGGAGGTGATGGTTGCTCTAGGCATTGAGATTTGGGTGCAGTTCCAACAGGCAGAAGTGGGTATTGGAGGGTGGGCTGTCCTAGAGTCCATTTTGGGTAAGGGAAACTCACAGGCAGAGGGAGTTGCAGGGTGCCTCCATGGAGGACCAGCAGGCACCTGCTGACGGAGGGGGCACAGGCGGAATGCCTCTGCAGGCCCCTTGCACTCCCGTGGCTCGATGGCCAGACTCCACAGCCAGGCGAGGGTCAAGGCCGCCCGCCCTCCGAGATAAACCTGCCCCACACACGACCCCCGCAGGTCTCCCACCACAAGCTGATAGGAAGCGTGCTGATCGGCTCGTTCAAGGTGGACCTGGGCACCGTGTACAACCAACCCGGTAAGATGGTGTCTCTCCCAGGCTCCCTCGTGCGCTGGGGTTCCCAGCGCTGGGGTCGCCCATTCGTTCACACACCCACTTGACCCTCCACCCAGCAACTCTGAGCACCTGTTGTACAAAACTGAATGGGGCGAGACTGCAGCCCTCCAAGCTGACCTCGTGGTAAAACAACCTCCGTCAGCTTCAGCCAGCCTTCCCTCCTGCACACCTTCTGCCTGACAGAGGGCTGGGAGGCTGGAGCGGGAAGGCAGCCAAGGACAGGAGCTGGGAGTGCAGACTCAGAGTAGGGTCACGTCCACTTTGCTGCTTCTGAGCTGTGCAACCTTGGGCCAGTGACTCCACCTCTCTGTGGCTCGGTTTCCTCGTCTGTAGCGATGAGAAGCGCGTGGTACCTCCATGGCCGGCTCTTGGAGGATTCAGCTAATAAACATGCACACAGTGCTCCGTCGAGAGCCTCGCATGTGAGAAGGATGCTGGCACTCCATACCAGGGCGCACTGTAACATTTATCGTTCCCCCTGGCTTACGGGAAAGGGGAGCTCAGAGACACTAGGAGGTCTGTCCAAGGCCGAGGGCACACAAGCCTGGAGCCGGCAGCCAGCCTAGACCCTCCTGCGGAAGGCCCTGATCTTCAGTGGTGATTCCAGTTCACACAGCTACAGGGCCAGGCGGCGAGCCTCGTCACTGAGTGCCTGGCCTGGGCGGGACACATGGAGGAGTGAGGAGTCTGCGGAGAAGGAGACAGTGCGGGAGGGGGCCGTGATCCATGTGAAAGAGCAGAGGGTCCGTGGCTTCGTAGCTCCGTGGCCCTTGCTGGCCTGTGGACACCAGCACCGTGCTTTTGAGCCATGCCAGAATTGTGTGAGTGGTATTGAAGCTCTGACTCACAGCGGAGACCAAGGAGAAGGATCTATGAGCCACATTCGTGGCCCGTGGGCAAATGACACGTGGCTTCTACATTCCATCCACGCCCCACCGTGCTGGTGATTCCCACCAGGCTGAAGGCTTTCCCTGCTGGGTGGGGGTAGACGGGGAGCCGGTGGGCAGCAGCAGGAGGGGGCAAGGGGTCTGGACAGACAGAGGAGTTGGCGGGCCGGGCACGGCGGCAGGTGGACTGGGCCATCCCCGGTGGGTGCGAGCTGTGAGGGTGCCTTGACAGGTCATCAGTTCTGCGACAAGTGGGCTCTGCTCACAGACCCCGGCGACATCAGGACCGGCACCAAGGGGTACCTGAAGTGTGACATCAGCGTGACCGGGAAAGGCGACGTCCTGAAGCCCAGCCCCAAGACCTCCGACGCCGAGGAGCAGATCGAAAGGTGAGACGGGCCCACGCGGCCGCGCAGGAGACATGCGCGTCCCGGGGCTGTG